GGCATTGGAAGAGCTCAGTAAATGGCAGCTCTTTTCATTCTCATAGGCCATGACAGGTAGGAGCTGATTATGAGGCAGAGTGACCAAGAGGTCAGAGATGACAGCGATGAAGAGGAGCAGAGGTCCCCGATTCCTGAGCATTTTTTATCTGAGGGTGGAGGAGCAATGGTTAGGCTGTGGTAATGAGGAATGAGCATGAGTCTTCCTGGCCCTCAGGGGATAGGAGGCATGTGTGAGAGAGCTGTGTCCACTGAGATGGCTGCAAAGGAAAATGGCTGCAAAGGAAACGGTATCCAGGGAGCTTGTCTCAGAAGTCTGGAAAGCAGATTGTGGGAGGGACCATGGATGCTGGCTCAACAGAGGCCTCGTCAAGCAGTAGGAGGCCATGGTGTGTGCCAGCCCCATCACCCTTTTTAGGTGCCCTGCACTGGGTTTCCTCTGAGGTGAGGGGGTATCCACACTGAGCTCCTCTGGGCAGAGCCTGTCCTAAGGCTCTGTGTCCCTCTCAGGCCTGAACAGAGTATAGGTTTAGGTGCAGACAGACATTCAATCCCCATCTTGGGCCTGGCCCAATAAGGCCTCATATACGGACACCTAGTGGCCCTGTCTATCCTGTGGATTTCCCAGACTGTTAGCCCACCCCCACTGCCTTTCCCAGGAGGCCCTGGGTCTCTCCCTCCTCTAGGTCTGGCCTCTGACCCCTGATTTTAGGTCACCTCCTAGGTCAGGCCCTGTAGCCTAGACAAAGAAAAATTCACTCCCTAGTGCAACTGGGCTTTTCTAACAGCAACACCACCAATAACGATAATAAAATAACAAACAGCATTAATAATTGCCATAGGCAGCACCTTACTAAGTGTCAAACATTAAGCAGGGTGCTTCTATATTTCATCTGGTTTAATTTTTAAAAGCACCCTAAAAGATGGGTAGTACTACTCCTGTTTTATAGAGGAGACTAAATCTAAGGGACTGAGAGGTAATTTGCCTAAGGTGACCTGGCTAATAAGTGACAGATTCTAAATTTAAACCCAAGTCTATATGACTCCAAGGCCTAAGGTGCCTTCCCCTCTTAAACTATGTCTCTCCCATATTCAGGGGCCCAGTCCTCCTATGCATGAGTGTGGGGCCCTGGCCGGCCTCTGAGATCCCTCCCTCCTTCCCCAAGGACTGAACTACAGTGGAAGGTCAGGCCTGTGTCAAGGCTGTCCAGGGGACAACCCTTGGCCCTTGTCCTGTCCCCTCCCCCTGCTGCGCTGGAACCACACCCACACCAACCCAGGCGAGGCCTCGGGGCTGATGATTTGACTGCCAGTCAGAGGCCACTCAGCAGCAAGGCCAGACTTCCAGTTTCAGGAGTGAGGATGAGTGGAGAGGAGGAGGCAGCAGCCCAGCTGAGTGGATTGGGAAGGCCGTTCCCAGGGCCTCTGAGGCCCTGGGTTACCAGGCCTCCTGGGGCATGGTGGGGAGCTGGTGGGGGCAGGAGGAACAGGGCCTGAGTCACTGCATGGGAAGCTTTCATGTCTCCCCTTCTCCAGGCCCCAGGGCTCCTTCCTCAGGACAACAGATGGGGCATCTCCAGCCTTCAACAAACATCAGGAGGAAGATGCTCAGGCCAAAGCACCCACAACACTGCATTATAACTCTAGTTTGGGGACTGTCTCTCCCACTAGACTGAGCAACTCTGGGTCAGGAACGGCGTTTAATTGACCTTTGTATTCCCAGGGAGCAGCACAGTGCCAGCACAGAGCATACCTCAGTGACGCCTGGCCAACGGGTGAGTGCGTGCAGGGATGGAGCCAGATGCGCCTCTGAGAAGAATTTTATGAGAGCTGGAGGCTGTCCCCTCCCACCACAGACCTACACCCCCATGTCCCTGATTCTACCCTCCCTCCCGACCTCAGCTTTCCCACTCAATAGACCACTGGTGCTCCTCTGAGCTGCCCCAAGCACACAGGCCTGCTAGGAACTCCTCCACCTGTTTGCTGGCCTCATCAAGGCTCCTGAGATCTGGGAGATAAGGGCCTTTGGTAACTTGTTTAGAGTTATCTGTGCTCCTCTATGGATGCAGAAAGCATGGCCAGCTCTAGAACAGGTTGTTCAGTCTTCCTTCCCCACATCTTTCCCCTTTCTATATCCTATCAGGACTCCTGGGTACCAGAGAGTTACATGCAATGAGCAACTCTGCTCACATAGCAAGCGGCAGGCGGCAGCCATGACTGAGGCTTAACACCTGTTCCAGTCCTGCATAGACAGGCCTTGGTTCCTGAAGACAGAGCTGCTCCTGCCAAAATTCCACAGGTGAGGCTCCAGACAGGTGCAGAGAGCTCTCCAGCAGCCCAGAGGCTACATGGTTAGAAACAGTGCTGCAAGAGCAGCACAAGCCTGTGGCTGGGCACCAGATAGCAGGGGGCCAGGAGAAGCAGCCTCTCCCACATTTACCTGGGTCTCAGAGGCCAGAGAAATGAAGCAGAACAAGGGAGAGGTCCTGCGAAGGCATTAGTCCTGGGTTTGAGGAGAAGGGTACTAAAAAAGAGGCTGCCTAGGTAGCCAAAAGGGCCCTCTGGGTGCTGGGAAACATGGGCAGGCCCATGCTGGGTGCTTGGAAAGGTGGGCAGGCCCACGCTGGGTGCTGGGAGAGGTGGGCAGGCCTACTCTGGGTGCTGGGAGAGGTGGGCAGGCCCAGGCTGGGTGCTGGGAGAGGTGGGTAGGCCCACACTGGGTGCTGGGAGAGGTGGGCAGGCCCATGCTGGGTGCTGGATTAGTGAGGCCATGGGCATGACTGGCTTTCCTCTGGCAGCTTACTCTAAAGGCCCAAATTATCTTTGACTTTCGAGCCAGGGAAGGATCATGGAACTTTAGAGGACGCCCTCCTGTCTCCTCTTTCTCCTTCCCACTCACACCCACCAACTCTGTGAAGGAATTCTCACCAACATCAGGCTGGTCCTAAATTCCTGGGCGTGGCCGAGCCAGGCCACAGACCACAGCATGGGTGAGTGTGCCTGAGCACAGCCCACACTTCCTCATCCCAACTGCTCTCGTACCGTTGATCAGCCTGCCACCAAGGCCAGGCCAGGCCAGGCTGTGAGCTCCTCTGGCTCTTCCAGGGTAAAGTGAGGCCCTGCTGTCTGCTCTCCGAGTGACCCGAGCACAGCGGGTCTTATGACTCCAGCTGGCTTCCTTCCTTTTCTTCTTTCTTTTCTTCCTCTCTTGGATGACTTGTAAGAGCCTTGAGTTAACTGACCTTGGTGTTCTTGGAGGGAATAACTCTCCCTGTCTGCCCAGTAGGAAGCTGGATCTGGTGTTTGAGCCAATTCAGATCATTTGTGGTGACTGAGCACTGAAGGGTAAAGAAGCAAATGGGATCAGGACCCTGCCCTCTGGGAGCTCCTTTGACATGTGCCCACCAGCACAAGAAGGGATATGCCAGGAGGGATGGGCAAATGGGCAGAAGGCCAGGGTAAGAAAGCCGCCCCCAGGCTCCCTGGGTTCACTAAAGCAGACCCAATTTCTTTCCACGTCTCCCTTAACAGTGTCTACCTGTGATCCCAATTTCATTGCCTTCAAGAAGAAAGCTCTCATTGTTTTCAAGAGGAAAGCTCTGAGGACACTAGTGTCTCAGGCCCTAGGGTTCTAAAAACAGAGGGGTGCTCCCTCCGCCCCAATTCTCTGCTTGGTTTGCGAGGGCAGTGGCCTGCTTGCAGCTGGGGCTGGCTGAAGCCAAACCCGTTCCTCTCCTGTGGGGAGCTGGGCTGGACCCAGAGGAGCCTGGCTGCCTCACTCAGCCTGGCTCTGAGGTGGGCTCCCTTCCCCACTGTCCCACCTACCTGAATTTCTGGACCTGACTTCTGTCTTCTTTCTCACTCGCTATCTACTTGACATTGCCTGCACTTGGCCTTGCTTGGGAAAAGGCTGTGGAGTTAAACCAAATTGCACTGAGACCTCCATGGGCAGGTTAAGCTGTTCCTGCCCCCCAACTCTCCTCTAAACCTCGAGAAAGAACTAGCCTCTTACTGTAGGCGGAGGGCCATCTGTCATCATTCTCCTCTGGTAGGAGGCTTGGGTATTGGAAGATGAATGGCCTGAACTCTGCAGTGTCCCTCCCCTAGGGGTGGCTGGTGACAGCTAGTTGAGGGGAGAGGGGGAATGGTCCTGGACAAGTTGGCAGGTGTGTCTGTAGGCCCAGAGCTGAGAAATAGAGACTCAGGAGGGGACTCAGTGGGTGGTCTGCTACAGAGCTGTCTGACCCTACTCAGTCACATAAGTTGCCTAAAGAAATGGGCCCAGACCTTTGCCTGACTAGAACAATGAGTACAGAATCTGATCATTCCCAGAGTGGAAACAGACTCACTGGCAGGTTGGGGACCCAAGTGCAGGCCAGTGGCAAAAGTACAAAGTGGAGAGGGATCAGGACTCATGATTTGAGAACTGGCTCCCTCAAGTTGAGGGGTCAGTTGTCCCTGAAGAGTGGCCCCAGGGCCCAAATAAGGCCTTCTTCCCCTGGCTGGGACTGAGGATGGACTCACATGACCAGAGGCAGAGAGACCTCACAGAGGGTACGAGGGCCTTGGGGAGGCAAGGACAAGGTCAGGGCAGGGAGTGTGAAGGTTAGGAGTAATGCTGGGGTGAGCCAGATAAGAGCTTTCCTTACCAGGGATCAAAGGCCAGATAAGGGCCTACAGGGGCGCTGAGGAGGGACTTGGGGTCTGGCTAGAGAAGGCTGAGAAAGGACCTGAAGCCTGGGTATCTTGGGGCAGGCAGCAGATATCAGGCATATCAGCTCCAGAAGTCTGGGCCAGTGACCTTGGCATCTGCTGGCTTCTCTGTCCCTTGGTTGCCTCTTTGTCCCTTGGTTGCGTTTGTGTGTCTTTCAGATTTGGGTCATTAATGCTTCTGTGGAAAGGTTCTTACTTGTTCTTTGCTGAGTTCAAAGGAAGGGGCTGACTCAGAAGCTGGGCAAGGCCAGGCCAAGAGGGGAAGGAGCTGGTGCACAGTGAGCTCACCATTCTCTCCTTGTAGACGATGTACTTCAACCACCTGAAGTCCTGCCACTTGAAGCCAGCGAGGACAAAGAGAGAATCCCGTTCGTACTGCTCGGGCTGCTGCATGGCGCCCTCAGGGTAGGTGATGCGCAGGGTCGTTTTGCTGCCCACGTCCTTCTCAAAGCCTTTCACTGGTGCTGAGTTCAGTCTACAGAGAGCAGGCCCAGTCAGAGCCTGCCTTGGGCTCATTGCATGTGGTCTGTTTGGGGAGGCACCATGACCCCAGAATATCCCAGGTCACTTGGTGCCACCTACCTTTCCAATCCAAAGCCCTCCAACCCAGGGTTCTTCTTGAGGCTTCTGCTGACCTCTAGCCCAACTGGCCAGACAGACAGTTCTCAATGGCTCAGGGACTCGGGTTTGGGCCAGGACACACAGGTGCCCAACGCACTGCTTTGGGGAACTCACCTGACCACAATGTCATAGTCATCAATTCGTGACCCCAGAGACTTGTTGGCAAGGACACCTCCATTTCCCACGATGATGCAGCGGCGGCAACTGAGGCTGAGGACAGAGAGGCAGAGACCTCTGGAGAGCTGTCCACCAGGTCTCCTTCTCCCCTATCTCTTTGGCCCTTGACCCTATGCCCTTGGCCAGGCACAGGCCGGGACAGAGAAAGAGGACTAGTGGGCTTCTGGCAGCAGTTCCATCTGTGAGTAGCTGGGCCCCTTGGGGCTCTCAGACGTCCCTAGTCCCTGATACTCTCTAGGAAAGCGTAGGTGTCGAAAGGGCTCAGGCACTAGCTGTGGGGTGCTGAGGAAGGAGGCTCAGGTAAGACGGCATTCTGGGTGAAAGATTCTCCTAGGGCTGAGCTTGAGGGCTATGCCAGAAAAGCAAGAAGAGAGGAATGGGCCTGGAGGCTCCAGGACTCAAGGTTCAGCTTATATTTGACTCAGAAGCCCCCACGCTCCCAGGAGCCACCAGGGAACCCTACTTATTTTGCTTCTCCTGCCCCTGCCCCTGGCGCTTCCCCCATCCAGGGTCTGTCGGCTTCAGAGCTATCACTACCTCCTGGATTTAAGCCCTGGCCCCTTCAGCTGCCCCCACCACCCAGCCCCTCAGTCCCAGTGGCGGGCGGATCCCAGTCCCAGTATCTTCTGTTTTTACCCTTTTAGGCCTCTGACATCTGAGGCCTGAGATGTCTTGCCAAGTTCTTATTGCCCACGAGGTGCAAGTCCCGCTGAATGGCCCCACTTATCTGCTCATCCACCCCAGTGTGTGTACTGTGTGTGCACATGTGCATGTGGTGGAGTCTGCTCATGTCCAGGAAAGGCTGCTGGGCCTCAACACCTCTGCACATGCCAGGCAGCTGAGGGGCAGGAGGCTGGGCTGCAATGGCTCACCTGTCCAAGGCAGGGGTCAGGTGGTACTCTTTGGTGACTGACAAGATGGCTCTGATCAGCTTGTCTGTGGACAGAGGAGGAAGATTTCTGTTAGAGGGTCACTTAAGTTCCCATGAAATTTTTACAGGCACACGCTCCTGGGGCTAGCGTGGAGGCAGAGGCTGGGGGAGGGAGCTCTGGACACGAGGCTGGGCTGGGTCATTGGCCTTTCTCCCTGAGAAAGGAGATGGAGGCAGGAGAACAGGCAGGCATGCACATCTCTGCCATTGTCAGTTTCTTCCCCACGGCTCCCCCAGCCCTTCCTTGGGAGCCTCATCTGGCTTTTGGAGGCTCTGTAGTCAGGCCCGCAGGGCCTGCATCTCCAGGCAGGACTTGCCTGGGAGCTGGGGCATCTCAGTGTCCTCCAGAATGGGAGCACTTGCTCAGAGACAGAGACCACCTTGTGCTCACTTTCATGTCCCCACTGAGCAGAACCACCAGGAAGCAAACGAGACACCAACAATGAAGAGCTGGAGTGGGCCCAGCCAGCTCCCTGACTCAGACCACTCTGCCTCATTTTCTGATATGGTTTTCCTCTCACTTCCTCCCTCTGCCACGGCCGATCTCTAATCCTGTTCTTGCTAGGATGTCTCTACCTCCTTATCCTCTTTCCTCTTCAAGCTCTGCAGCCTGGCATCTGCCCACCTGCACTCCACTCAGGCTGTCCTCAGCAAGGGCCCCAGAACCTTTGTGCTCTCAGATCCTGTAACCACTGTTCAGACCTCATTCTTCTTGGCCTCTCTCCGGCTTTGGCAACGATAATTGCTCTCCTTTCAAACCCCGGTTTAACGAGAGCATTATAATACAATGTATAATGATAGTGGCTTTGGAGTTAAATCCTGGTTCTGCCACTTATGAGCTCTGTGACCTCAGACAAATCACTTACTTTCTTTGAGCTTTGGTTTCCTCATCTTTCAAATGAAGATGGTAATTCTTACTGTGCAGAGTAGTTAGGAAGATAAAAAGATAATGTAGGTCTTTATCTAAAGACCTAAAGATAAAGTAAGTAAATTGGTACAACACAGCGAACAGCATCTTAACAATATCAAGTAAAGATATAGATGTGCATAGACTAAGATCTTGCAACTCTACTTCTAGATGGATAGCATTGAAAAACTCACACATTTGTTTAAGGAGACTTGTACAAGAATGTTCATTGCAGAATGGTTTGTAATAGCAAATTGTTGGAGGCAACCTAAATGTCCACCAAAGGAAAATAGATTAAATGTGGTACATGGAATACTACACAGCAGTCACAAAATCAATGATCTAGGGTTACGTGTACCAATACAGATAAATCTGAAAAGCATAAGCAAAAAAAATAAAATTGAAAAATATACACACACACATATATAATACCATTTGTAAACTTCAAAAACATGCAAAAACAATACCAGATTTTTAATGGATACATAAATAAGTCATAGAAATATATAAAGAGGTATGGAATGATAACACCAAAACCAGGATAATGGTGTCCTGGGAAGGAGGGGCATGGCATGGGAGGGGCTACAGAGAGCTGTAATTGTATCTTATTGTCTTATATTTCTTAAGCTGGGTAGAGAGTACCTGGGTGCTCATTATATTAGTCTTTATGCTTTTTTATATACCTGAACTATTTCATGTAAAGAAAGGATGCTTCCAAAATTAAAAATAACAACTTCATAATTTTTTGAAATATAGGGTGGAAAATACTGTCAGATGCAGCCGAGAGGTCAAGTTAAGGACTGAAAAGTATCCTCTGGATCTCACGAGCATTGAGTAGTTTCACTGGAGTGGTGGGAGGAGAAGTTCTTCAGGAGTAAACGGTGAGAAAGAGGAGACAGGGCACAGCTAATCTTTCCAGAAGTGGAATGAGAAAGGGAAAGGAACCTTAAGGAATGTTCTATACTAAGTGCCTTCAGATACACCTCACAGTGGGCTTCAGGGAAGGCCACAGATCCCCTCCTCTTCCCACCTCCAGTTTCACCTCTGAGGAAAAGCATATTGCCCTAATTGGCCAAGGTTGAGGATACAGATTGGGTTTTCATTTTCTAGGAGGGGAACCTTAGCAGAAAGGGCAGAAACTATTGGGTGCTTTCTTCTTGCTGGCTAATGGGCTCTGTATTGGCCATTCCTGGCCTTCATAGCTTAGTAGGATCAGAGTCTCAAGTGAGGATTTAGGAGAAAAGAGGAGGCTGCTTGGCTACACGCACCCAGGAAAAATAAGTTCTTTATCTGGTTCAACCCAACCCATTAGACTTGTCTTTGAAGGTGTGAGGTCCAAGCTTCAGTTCAAGAGTGTCCTTTTGCTGGCCACTGTCTTCTTTTCAGGGACGGGTGGACTGGCTGAGTAGAGGGTTCAGGTATTCTTGAGTCCCTGGTCAAATGATATCACCCCTTTAACAGTTATCTTATTTAATTCTGACCACAAGCTAATTCAATGGTATTGTTCTCCCCATTTAACCAGTGAAGAAACTCAAGCACAGACACGTTAAGTAACTTGTCCAAGGTCACAGCTTGTAAAGAGGTAATTTTGGGATCTGATCCTTCTATGCTGGACCCTAAAGCCCAAACTCTACCATGCCATGAAACAGTGCAAGAACTTGACAAGAGAACAGAACTGTTAAAACTATCAGGGGTAGGAAAATCTTAAGTTAGGAGGGAATGAGATGGGTGAGGTCCCCAAGGCAATGGAAGGGGACAGGTCTGAGAGTATAGGGGAAGCGCTAGCCTTGGACAGATAAGAAAGGGCTGGAGGGGAGACTAGGTTAAGGGGAAAAACCACAGGAGGGGATGATGGGGGAGCCTGGGGACAGTGGTGGGGGATGGCCTCTATTTTCTCTGGGATGTTCCCCCTCATGCCTACTTCTCTAGTGCTGATGTCTCTGACACCCCTTTTCTGCGATCTCACAGTACCAGGTTCTTCCCTCATCAGAGTCCTTACTGTCCTGCACCCTAAGTATCTGTATCTCCACCAGACTGGAGCTTTTTGAGGAGAGGGACCATATCTATCTACTCCACTGTGGTATGCTCAGCCCTGGCAAAGTAGGAGGCACTGAATAAATATTTCACTAAAGAAGTAAGAAAAAATGAAGGAAGGGAAAGAGGGAGAGAAGGAAGGACACTGTTGAGAGCAGGGGGATCCCCAGCATGAGGACTTCTAAGGGTACAGCCCTGTCATGAAGCGCAGGGAGATAGTTTGGAGGATGAGATGTTAATGTAGAGTGGGTCATGGTTCCCAGCATACCTTGACCTTTGATCCCAAAAGGCGGCACAAATTCCTGGATCCTAGCCCACATGCGGAAGGAGTCATCCAGGAACATGGGTGCTGGCTTGGAGAACCTGGAATACAACAGGGCTATTGAGGATTCCCAAATGCAACAGGCTGGAGTACTGGTTGGCTCTTCGGTACAAACGTCTTCACTATGGATCTGCTGGAAGCGACCTTCCACATTCCAGCACACCCTCCCTACTCCCGCTTGTTCATTGAGCAGCTGCTGTGAGGGGTCTGACAGATCTTGTTCAGCGGAGACTGAGTTTAAAGGAGCAGGCCTGGCCAGTCCTTATGTGGCCAGCTGTAGGAGTGGAAAGACAAGATCTGCTCGGCAGGGATCAACATCTCAGAGCTGGAAGCTCTCTGGCAGGTTATCTATGCATGCATCCATCAAAGAGTTACTACTGTCCACACTGTTCCTGCAATCTGGGAACACGGAGATGAGACATTGTCCAGTTGAGCAGAAGAATACCCAAAAATACAGCCAATGCAGGGAGACAGAATTTTGGAAAGAATTCTGGGAGATGGACCACCCAGGGTGAGGAGGAAGAACTCATGATGAGAGGGCAAAGCAGGTGAACAGCCATAGGAGATACAGGTTTGAGAGAGAAGAGGAAAATCACAGTATCCTGTGGCTGGGAGGCAGGGCTGAGGGGAGTCTCAGACAAGTAGGAGGCTGAGCACATTTGTTTGCAGAGAGAAGGACAGAGGGCAAAGGTCCTCAGGGGCTGGGGGAGGGGAAGGAGGTTAAGCGGAGGGGGTAATTTTGGCCTGGAGGAAAGACGAGAGGAAAAATGAGAGAGAAGGAACAGTGAGGTAATGCTGAGTTGAGGAGAAGGGAAAAGGCAAGTTTCACTTTTTGGGGGAAAGCTGAGGAGTGAGTAGGGCAGGGTGCAGGTTTGAGAAGGATGGGACAAAGTCAGAAGGGATGAAGAAGGGAGTGAGGACAGAGTGACAAGGGAGAGAAGGAACCAAACTCTTCAGAAATGCTTGGACAACACGACTTCACATGGAAACTCGTACCGTGGTTTTGAGACCTTTTCAGGGCACCTGGCAGCCCAGAAGATGGCCAGCACCTAGTCCCTTACTGCATGTTGAGTCTTCCTGTAGGACCTGCGTAGGGCTTTCTTGGCCAAGAATGAATGTGTGGAGGCCTAGGACTTGGTGGCTCCGTCTCTTTAATTCTAACTCAACCTGAATCAGCCAGTGAAAAACTTAAGATTGGAGGAGAGGCCCTCCAAGCTCAGAAGCTAGAACTTCCCCCTCCTATCGTTCTCTAACCCCAGCATACACTGTTCATTCCCATCACCACTAACACCATTACAATCATCATACCCAAGAAGAATAACAGTAATCGGAAGTCTAATATTATTAGAGATTTTGAAGTGAACTTGAAAAAAGCAGAAAACCTTCAATGCTGCTCCCTCTACCGTCACTCGCTGCTAGGAAGAAGCAGTCAACACGTGATAGTATGGAAAGGCCATTCCTGCATAGGGCTTTCTTTTGGACTTCTGAGTTAGTACACTTCCCTTCCGTGTGCAAGGGTCATGCATGTTTCTCATACCCAGTATATAAAATCTAAGTGAATTCATATATTTGCAGTTGTGACAGAGGCACTGATGATCCTGGCCATAGTCTTCATGTAACAGCAAAGGACACAAGATCCCTGGATGAGCTGCAGCAAGAGCCTCTCCTGCGTCGGGACTGAGCTCATAAAATGTTTGCAAAGCTTCTCAGTCAGGCTAGGACAGGATTTTATCTGCTTCCCAATATGTACTGGATGTCATATGCTAATAAAATCTCCTAAGATCTAGCCAAATGGTCTCAACATATTTTTTCCTTTTCCTCTCCCTTCTCTCTTTTTTCCAGCTGATTAGAAAGTTCATTATGTTTATTTTTACTTTTTAAAAAACGCTTACTTGTGGTGTTGCTTGTAATACGTGTTAATTTTGGAAAAAACACAGGTGCACACATACACTAATAAATAAATCTTACAATACAGAGATAATTAACCTTTTGTTATATATCTGTACTGATTTTTCTTTTCCTATATTATTTTTTAGACTGCTCTGTAAACTACTTTTTTCACGTATAATATTATGAAAACATTACTATGCAAATGGACACAACATTCTCCTAATACACAGAGATTGAGTCAAACAAGAAAAACCACAAGCTGCTGGTAACCTGATACAAATTGACCTCCCAAAAATCAGATGCAGAAGGTTACACAAATGAAAATATGACCAAAAAAGGAGGACTTACAATATTAGTGCTTTGAACTCAATGTTTGTGTGGCCCCCTAAAATTCATATGTTGAAATTTAATGCCCACTGTGATGGTATTTGGAGGTGGGGTCTTTGGGAGGTAATTAGGTCATGAGGGTGGAGCCTTCATGACTGTGATTAGTGCCCTTATAAGGAGGCCAGTGAGCTAACCAGTTTTCTTTCTGCCATACGAGGATACAGAAGAAGTCAGCCACCTGCAACCTGGAAGAGAGCCCTTGCCATGCTGTCACCACAATCTTGGACTTCCAGCCTCCAGAACAGAGAGAAGTAAATTCCTGTTGTTTATAAGCCACCCAACTTACGATATTTTGTTATAGCAGCCAGAGCTGACTAAGACAATAAGTAATGAGCAAAAAAAATTCATGGGAGAGATCATGGCAAAAAGCATTAAATGGACCTGATTAAAGCGGCCTTCAAAGTTTTAGATGTTTATTTTGTAGGCCCTCTTTATATTCCCTGGAAGATTGAGTCAGCCTCCCTCTAGCATTTCTTTCTGCTATTGGGTGCACCTTTGTGCAAGGAATACTCTTTTTCCCTCCTGTGCATATATTTTTAAAACTTTTTAAAAAAATTTTTATTAAAGACTGGCACCTGAGCTAACAACTGTTGCCAATCTTCTTTTTGTTTCTTTCTTTATGCTTTTTCTCCTCACATCCCCCCAGTATATAGTTGTATATTTTGGTTGTGGGTCGTTCTAGTTGTGGCACGTGGGACACCGCCTCAGCGTGGCCTGATGAGTGGTGCCATGTCTGTGCCCAGGATCCGAACCAGTGAAATCCTGGGCTGCCACAGTGGAGCATGCGAACTTAACCACTTGGCCACGGGGCCGGCCCCCTTAAAACTTTTTATTATGAGAAATTTAACACGTACAAAAGTTGAAAAAAAAAAAACAGTACAGTGAACCACCCATGTACTCATTACCTAGATTCAGCAATTATCGATCATGGTCATTTTTGTTTCTTTTACACCCCATCCACTTTCTTTCTGTTTTATTTTGGAAAATCCCAAAAATCATGCCATTTCTTCCATAAAATATTTCAGCATTAATTTCTAAAGATAAGGACACCTTAAAAAACATGTCCAAACATAAACAACTCCTCTAAAAGCCATTATCACATTTAAAAAATGATTTATTTCTTAATAGCAACAAAGAGCCAGTCAGTTTTCAGATTTCTCTTATTTTCTCACTGTTGTTGCTGCTTATGGTAACAGTTGGTTTATTTAGATCCCAATGAAAGCATGGTCCACACACTGAATTTGGCTGGCCTCCATGTCTCTTTTAAAGACACAAGTTTCCTCCTCTTTTTTTCCCCTTTGGCCTTTTCATCTTGGTTCCTGAATCCTTTTGACACACTCCAGTAATCTTAGATTACCGTCCTTGTTTTCTGCTATGTAAAGGTGTTCCAGGCTTATCTTGTACATTTCTTGCCCTCTCCTGGAATCAGTCATTTTCTCAAGGAGCCTTGGCTCCTTTTAAATGGAAATGGTATTTAGAGACCACCATTTGGGTAGCTAGGGATGCTCATGCCATCATGGGTTAGTCATTGTTTCTAGAACTTTCAGGGGAACAAAAAACTAGGAAATAATTTTTTAAAGAGAAAATACATCATGTATTTATACTGGTATACCCAGTTCAAATTTAGGATTGCAAGATTTGTACTTTACCTTCCTTTTTTTTTCTTAAACAAATAGCTTTATTGAGACATAATTCACATAAAAGTCATCCATTTACTTACCTTCTTTGATTTTATATTTGTATGTCTTTTCTCTCAAGTAGATATCCTTGTTGATAGTGATATTAACACAATTACTTATTTGCTTTATCTTAATAGATACATACATATAGATACATACACATACATATAGAAAACATGCAATAATTTGAGAATAACATTGCTAACACTACGATTACTAAGAACAATGAAAAGTTCTTTGTAGTTCTTTTTGCCATGGGGGCATACCCTTCTAGAAAAGTACAAATTACTTTACTTTTGCCACTTGAAATAATTCTGCTGAGTTTAATTCATCAATGATACATAGGTTCGTTTGTTTCATTTTGCTTTTGCTTTTTAGGGTTTGCTTATCCCTCATTTTAATTAAACTTTATGATGATATAAAACTTTACATAGTTCCAAAATTAAGTTCATAAAGCAAGATATATTCAGAGGAGTCTAACTTTCATCTCTGTATCTGACTCATGTTACTTCTATTCCCATATAGTATTCATTTTTAATAGTTTTTATTTTATCTTTTCTTTGTTTTTTTTTTGATGTAACAAACACATAATATGTGTGTGTACTCCTATTCCTTTCTTTATGCAATAAAAAGGTAACATACTAAATACACTGTTTCATTTACTGTTTTTTCACTATATAAGATATTAGGGCGATCACTCCACAGGTAGTATGAGAGTTATATACTTGATGATGCCCATCATGGTTATGTACCATACATTATTCAATCAGCCCCCTGCGTAGTTTCCAGTCTTTTGTAAAGTAGGTTCCACCAACAGTAGTTACAGTGAATAACGTCATGTATATGTCATTTTCCATTTACTGATGTATCTTTGGAACAGATTCCTAGAGGTGGGTTTGTTGGGTCAAAGGGGAAATGCACATACATAATTTTGCTGCACATTGCCAAGTTCCCCTCCACAGGAACTGTACCATTTTGCAATACACACCAGCAACATATGAAAGTGCCATTTCCCCCACAGCCTCACAAATGGAGCATACTGTCAAACAATTCAATTTTGCCAGTTTGATAGGAGAGAAACAGTA